TTCTAACATAAAATTCTTAAAAACAATTGGGTTGTTGAACGAAATTTTTTTTTATATTTAAAACGTTTTTTATACAAAAAGTTTATAGAAAAACGTCCTTTTTGTTTTTTTTTCGCAATATTGACGAAGATTTCGATTTTATAAAATATTATATTATTTCAAACTCATTGCCGACGACGCACCGATCATGCCCGAAGTTGCCCGAGCAGTCTGTGACGTCACAATGTTACATGCCATGTACGATATCTATCTTCTTGCTATTGAGATTTTGATCTTTCAATAGAAATGGCAACAATTAAAACATATAGGTCGTGTTTCGTTCCTCTCTGTAGTAATACAACCAAAAGTACACCAAATAAAGTGTTCGCAACAGTGCCACAAGACGTGAAACTTCGTCAGAAATGGTTTAATGCCGTTCGAAGAGATAACCTCAAAAACAGCAAATCGAACTTCTTTTGCTGTGAAGACCATTTCAATGTAAGTAAACATTTTAATAGCCTAAGTATATGTTAAATAATCAAATTATTTTCTTTTTGACAGCATTTCATCTAGCTATTAATAACTCTTAATCTAATTTCTTAAAAAATATTTTATATTTATAGCTACGAGAAGATATTGAAAATTATCAGTATTATATAATGATGGGAGGTCCAGTGAAAATAAAAAAAAACGTTATTCCTCATAAATTCGAATGTCAGCCTGACCGTAAACGTAGAACATGCTCCACGTATAGTAGCAGAAAAACGACGAAGACAAGCGGAAGTAAAGGACATGTTTACAGAAGCATTCGAGTCTTCTTCAACAAATACTGCAGATACATCAAAGCAGAGTACAACTGCTGCTTTAAATGAGCTTGCGATAAATGAACTCGTTCCCAAATCTCGAGCTGAACAAATGTTTACTGCATGTGCGATTACGGATACAAGAGATGTAGGAAGAGTTGGATTCATGGACGTCGGAATACAAACTTCCGTGATGCAGCAAAATGTTGGCGTACAGGTTAAGATCCGACCACATTATCGCAGTGTTCATACAACATGCAACATTTCAGTATCGACTGTCAATAAATGTTCTTCTCCAATTAAATTACCTATCCATGCAAATATTGCAATTTCTCCGACAAAAATTATTATTTCTAAGACGACCTGTACAAATTACTCCATATTAACAAGTACTATAAGTACAATAGATATAGGTAGTTCTCATGATTATTATATGCCTTCTGACCAAACGAGTCTCGACGATCCTAGTAGCCCAAATAAAAAAGATCGAGACATATTAAACATAACAAACTATCTCATTAGTACTAATATAAAAGCGTACCTAGGGATTCCAAACGAATGGAATACACTGTTGCCTCTTTTGAGTACAAAAGGTAATATAAGTATCCAAAATATACAATTATGTTTAATGAAAATTAGAAGACAAGATACGTTTGAACGATTGGCTGAACAATTCTGTATGAGTCCTAGTAATGCAAGTATAGTTTTCAGAAAAACAGTTCCAATACTCAGTCATTTACTAAAAACTTTGATCTTCTTTCCGAATCCCAACTTAGTGAAAAAAACTTTGCCTATTGTTTTTCGAAATTCATACAGTCATGTCCAGTACATTGTAGATGCTCTAGAAATACAAATTGAAAAGCCAAGTAATCCCGTAAATCAAGCCTTGACTTGGTCTGAATACAAAAAATGTAACACGATAAAATATTTGATATCTTGTGGGCCAGATGGCTTTATCAATTTCATTTCTACTGGATATGGGGGTAGAATATCGAATGTATTAATATTGTTTGAGAAGTGTGGTATACTAGATAAGCTCCCTGAAAAATGTGGTGTTATGGCGGATCGAGGTTTTAAAAATATCAAGCCTCTATTAGTAGAAAAACATTGCGAGTTAATAAAACCGCCAAGTGTATCGTCCATACATAAACCTACGAAATCTGAGGTTTTGGAAACTAAACGCATTGCTAGCTTACGAATTCACATAGAACGTGTCATTGGGAGATTGCGTGAATTTGATTTTCTAAAGCCACATGCTGTTATAAGCCATAGTATGTTATCTGACACTGATGACATTATCGTGATCGCTTCAGCATTAATAAATTTGCAGTCACCAATAATAAAAATATAGTATGATATAAGAATTGACAAGTAATAATTCTGAATACATTATATATTTTACACACTTTTATTATACAGGGTGTTTCCAAATTAAATGGCAAAACTTCGGGAGCGTGTAGAGGAGTAAAAAACTAAGAAAAAAAGTCCTATAGACATATGCTCGTTTTTGCTCCGTTTCAGAGAAATCGAAAAAAAATGTTTACATTTCTTGCCATATCTAGCACCGACATATTTGATTACATTTTCCACTTTCTGTTATGAATTTGTCAGTCGCTCTTTGAAAGCCTTTAACAGTAGATGAATTTTGTCTTTTGCAATATGCCGCGTACGTATTCTAAT